GATTGTGGCTAATCCCGAAGCACCGTGGAAAGAAATATCTATGGACTTCATTGTGGAATTGCCTGAAAGTGGAGAGAACACTGTTATTTGGGTTGTTACGGATCTTTTTTCAAAACAGGTGTACTTTGTTCCCTGCCCCCAAATTTCCTCTGCAAAGATGCCAGCTAAACTCTTTGTACAACACATGTATAGAAGTGGTGGGGTTCAATTTTTTAACTACCGGTTCTGTGGGTGTGGCTTGGTGGGCGTGGCAGGGGAAGGATACTATAAAATCTCCAGTCAGAGGGGGTTATTTGCCGGTTCTCCGAACTACTCAAAATTTCCGCTACCGGTTCTCCAGAACTGGTCAGAACCTGCTGAATACCACCTCTGGTGTATAGGTTGCATGGTGCACATGAGCACATTATTTCCGATAGAGGAGTGCAATTTACATTGCCATTTTGGCAGGAATTCCTGAAGCTGTTGGGAACCACCCAGACCTTAAGCTCCTCCTATCACCCCCAAACTAATGGGACTTGTAAGAGAAATAACTCAGTCCTGGAACAGTACCTCAGGTGCTACATTAATGATCAACAGGACAATTGAGCCGACCTTTTGCCTTTCGCAGAGGTAGCATATAACAATTCTGTGCATAGTAGCATGGGGTTTACCCCATTTAAAGTGGCTCTGGGCAGGACTTTGTAACTATGAGAGAGCTGCCTCAAGAAGAACCACACGTACCCTCCTTAATGGAGTGGATAGTCCAACTGCAGAACACTTGGCCAGTTGCCCGTAGACACTGGAGGAGGCACATCAGGCACATAAGAAACAAGCTGACAAAAAAACGTGTGAAGCCAAAAGATTTTCAAGTAGGTAACAAGAGTTTACCTCTCCACAAAGTTCTTACAGTTCACCCAACCATCTAAGAAACTTGGTCCTAAATACGTGGGCCTATTCCCAATTGTTAAAGTAATTAACCCCGTCACTGTGCAAATTGCAGTTGCCCAAGAATCTAAAGCATATTCACCCTGTATTTAACTGCAGCTTATTGAAACCTGAAACTGTATCACCTTTTTGCCCTGCACCTGACACTCCTCCTGTACTCACTCTGATTGAGAAGAACTATGGAGAATTTTTAATTGCAGCTTTGCAACTGCAGTTAACTTCAAGGCCATGTTATCAGTTGGCTATGGTATGCAGTAGCCTCTGGTTGTCTAGCTACAAGGGGGCTGGGCTGTATACTATATCTTTATCTGTGCTGTTCCCACTCTGGTGCCTCAGAGCTTGCTTGAAACCATTTTGCATTCAGTCTATTCCTAGTAAAAGTGCTTTTCTCTAAATCTATAGAGCAAGTATTCTTCTTTCCTATGAACTGAAGAGAGGCAATCCTGACTTGGGAATTAACAGCAACAATCTCTCTGATAATCTTAGTATTTGACTAGTCTTCCTAATAATGAAAATCATGTATAACGATTTCTTCCCAAATAATCAGTGGTATTTTTTATTATTTCTAGAATGAAAATTATACTGAACATAAATTTAAAAAAACTTAGTGGAAACAAAATGTTCAACCCAACAAAATATTACTAACCAAGATAAAACTTTTTTTTAAAAAAAATGAACACATTTACATCAATTTAAAATCAGTGTAAATAACATATCGAAGTAACAAGCCCCAATAGGATTGATCTCCACACTCGGGTCTGGCAGAAGGGACATGCTATGGATTCTGTTAGTTAAGGAATTTTAGTTGGCGAGATCTAGGAGTAGAGTCTTTTCTATGTGGCCCCTGCCCTTTGGAATATCTTGCTTCTGGAGGTAAGGTGTCTCCCCCAACCTTTTTGACCTTATGCTGGTTTTGTCAGTTGGTTTGGGGCTTTGATAGGGATGCTTTATGCTGGAGGTAGATATGGATTAAGAGGGAAGATCCTACCACTGTACCATTCATGCTCTTGTTTTTTAGTTGTTTTATCTAATTCTTGTACATTTTAATATTTTATGTTTATGGAGATTCTCATTCATCCAGGTCATAGTTGTCCCAAAGGTGCTTTTTTTCAAGAGGCAACTGGACTTCCTTGCTTTTCTTTGAAGACATTTCGCTTGTCACCCAAGAAGTTTATACAGCTCTGACTGGATAGTGGGGAATGAAAGGATTTATACTTCTTGCAGACAGCTGATCATCTGCATTCTTTTAGCCAGTCATTAAGGCCACCTGAAGGTTTTTCTGTGTATTTTAAATG